AACAGAAACGGAACTCAAGGGCACGCGTCGGGGCGGTGGGCGGAGCGGGCAGTGTAGACACACGTCGGGGCGGTGGGCGGAGCGGGCAGTGTAGACACACGACATTGGGCCGCAGACAGCAGCTCCTCAGCTCTCCATGCACTTCAGTAAGGCCGAGCAGCAGCAAATAAAAGCTTGAGCCAGTTAAACAGCGGGGTCATCCCTAGGAGTACCTTACTAATAAAATATTAAAAAGTGACTGGCAGCCCTGTGCTGTCTGGACAGAGTGAAAGCTCCTGAGAGGTGAGTGGAGGTTAAGGACGCACTGCCCCACCCAGGGCAAGGTGGGTGAGGGGCTCGCTTACGTTCTTTGAATCACTGGGAAAATAGAATCACGGTAAAAAGACATTCCAGGGTTTAGACATTTAAAACACAAACCCACAAACAGGCCCCTAAGCCCCATCTTAGTCTAAGATTTCGAGACAGGTATTAAGCACTAAAATTCAAAGGTTTTTCTGGTAGATATTATTAATAATAAAGTTCCTTTATCGAATAGTTTGTGGAAAATATATTCATTGTGTGTTAACAACTCTAAATGGACTAGGTATTTTTCGGTGTTCCAATTTCTTAAAATATACCCACAAGCCTCTTTTGGACCGTCTGCTGGTGCACCTCCTCAGTAGCTTTGGGGACGGCAAACCGGGTCACAGGTTGAAACCGGGTCACAGCTTGTGAGAAACACAGCCACTAATGCCCAGCTGTGCTGAGATGTTACGTATCATGGGTCAGGGGAGAACGTGGCCCGTGTTCACACGTGTGGACAACAGGACAGTCACACATACCTTTACTAAGCAGTTTTCATGTCCAGGGACAGAGCCGTTTACATAGATGATGTTGTGCTTGGTGTTTATTCTCCACACCTAAAGAAAACAGGAGAGGAAACCAAACTTTTAAGAGTAAAGATCTGAGAATACACGTGTATTGAACAAGTAACGCGCTACTGAAAGCTGAAGGCGGAAGCAGCCTATCAAGTCACGATCACGTTCGCACCTCAGACTGTCAAACAAAGACCGAAATCCTCAGACCCTGTGAATGACTTGTTCATAGCACGTGCGATTATGAGGTGACAGAGCTCTCTGTAAGTGGAAGCATGACGAATGATCAAGACTGCGTGGGTATCTCTGTAAACTCTGCGGGCTTCATTAAGAACGACACGTAGAAATTCAACCTTCCTTGGGTCATGGGCAAAGTCGTGACGCATTTTCGCATAGAAAAATACGCCACGATTCTTCCCGTGACCTGACAGGGCGAAGGGAATCAAATTCAACTGCAGCCCCTCTCTGGTAACAGCCTACCGCAGAAACCGAATCACACTCAGGGAAAACGGAGGCCGCCCACGTAAGTGTAAAGGCAACAGAAGGGAAAATCCTGGATTTAATGATGGAAGTCTGAAAGCCTTCTGTTGGAATTCACAAAGGGTCCAGTGGTGCAGCGGTAAGGAGACTGCACCCGCAGGGAAGGCCTGGGGCTCCAGGCTGCGTCCCGCCCTGAGCACTCTGGGTGCCCCTTGTGCCCGTGGCCTGGGTTGGCTGCAGCTGGGGAGACGGTGTGGCGTGGAGACTGTCAGGGGTGCTCGTGTCTCTGTCTCTCTCTCTCTCATGGAAGAAATAAATGAATAAACGTAACAAAAATTCTTAAATTTGATTTTCAAAAATTAAAAAAAAGATATATATATATATATATATATATATGGGTGTTGCTATGGGTAGTTTATTTTCTTTGTGCTTTCTACACTTTGAAACATGTATGAGAACACACATAAAAAATTAGGGAACCAGCAGTTAGCATAATGGCTATGTCGCTGGACTCCCACATAGTCGACTGTGGTTCGCGTCCCAGACCCAGTGGCTTAAAACTCACACTGGGCACATGTGCGTGCGTGCCCAAGATCCTGAGAAGAGAATGGAGAAGTTATGAGGATCAATAATCATTGGGGCCGGCAAGTGGCATGGTGGTTAAAGGCGCTGGACTCCCACATGGCCGACCATGGTTCAAGTCTCGAACCTGGTGGCTTGCTTTCTCACTTCCTCTCTCCCTCTCTCTCTCTCTGTGTGTGTTTCAGAACTGGAAAATAATAATGATAATAATAATAATAAAGTTAAATAAAATAATTCTTTAAAAAAATTAGCTATTTAGTAAAAATATAATTCTATAGTCCCCACTATAATAAACTTATTTTTACTTACGCATCATATACATTTCTCAAGCTAGGAGGTACTGAGCTAAGCTTCTGCCTTCTACAATAGACACACCTATTTTATAAGAATGGATGTATATCACACTATTTCTTTAGTTTTAGGCCTCTCCTCTCCCTAACCTTAACCACTCCTACCCCCGACACGTGACTCACAGCCCTAGACAACCGGGTTACTCCCCCTCCCACTGTGGTTCTGTAACAGCAAAGCCACACACACGCAGGGAGATGCGAGTCCTTTTATAGAAGGCCCACTCTTCTTAGTGCTCTGGACTCAAATTTTTCCACGCAGAAATAGGCTGAAACCTCCTAGGTGCAACAGCAGACCACTCAGTTCTGCTCTTACCTGCAAAGTGGATGTTCCGTAAGTAACACCACCACTACACTGTGAGTACACCGCCGCACGTGCACTGCTTCGTGGACCCTGGTCAGGGACGATGAAGCCTGCTGGCACGACTGCGGCAAACACACAGCACGGTGCCTCTGAAGGCGTCATGCAGGAGACTCACCTTCAGCCCGTACTCCGTCCTGTCCACGTTGCCCATCTGCCCAGGCATTTTGGTTCCCGGCCACACTCTGGCGACATCCTAGAGGAGACACCCAGCGTTAGCACGCCTGCGCTCAGTCTCAAGATGGTGCTGATCAAGCCAGTGCAGACTCAGGATAGAAACTTAAAAAGACTCCCCCATTGTGCTAGGCCTCAGACAGGGAGGTGGTGAGGGAGTGAGAAAGCAACCCTTGGGGTGTGAGGGGCAGCCATGCTGCAACCCCTTCTCCTCCGTTCTCCTTTCAGGATTCTGGGCACACATGCCATGTGCCTAGTGTGCTTTTCAAGCCAACGGGTCTGGGACTGAGCCATGCAGGCCCTGTGGGGTCCAGCTGCCTTAAACCCGCACCACCAGCTGGCCCCTCCTTGTGGTTTTACTCTGCATTTTCCTAATGGCTAAACACGTCTTCTCATGCGTTCAACGGTCATTTGTACATCTTCTTTGGAAAACGGTTCAAACCCTTGCCCATTTTTAAACTAGGTATCCATTTTACTCCTGGTTGTAAGAATTGTATCAGGCTGTCGGGACAGTCACAATGTGTCTTTTTTTACGCAAAAACCGCATCAGGACTTTACCAACACCTAATATACTCATGTAAGATTCACGGCTCACAAATGCTTCCTCCCAACCTGGGGCTGTCTTTATAGTCTTGATGGTATGGGCTGCAGCACGTCTTCAATTATGATGACGCCTCATCTATCTGCCTTACCTTTGTTGCTTGTACCTAAGGTTCTGCGTAACTCTAGGGCATGAAGGTTTACTCCTATGTTCTTTTTTTAAATATTTAATCTTATTTTTAATTTATTTTATTTTTTATTTTTGGAGAGGTTTAGGGCACATGCGCTCGCTAGAAAGACAGAGACAGAGAGATAGAAAGTGAGAAATCACCCCTTCAGGGGGGATAGTCATGCCGCAATCCCTTCTCCTCCATTCTCCTCTCGGGATCTTGAGCACACACGCACACGCCCCTGGCGTGAGTTTAAGCCACTGGGTCTGGGACTCGAACCATGGTTGACTCCCATCTAATGGGAGTCCAGCGACATAGCCATTACGCTAATTGCTGGTCCCAATCTTCTTCTTCTTATTATTATTTTTTAGTTTTACAAGAGAGAGACAAAGGGAAAGTGAGAAAGCAAGCTGCCAAGTGCTGGACTTGAGGCAGGTCGGCCATCAGGGGTCCAGCGTCTTAACCGCCATGCCACCTACTAGCCTCTATGTTCTCTGAAGAGTTTTATAGCTTTGGTTCTCATAGCTACGACCTGCTTAACCACCATAACTGATTTCTACATCATTGATAGCTTTGGTTCTCATAGCTACGACCTGCTTAGCCACCACAACTGATTTCTACATCATTGATAGCTTTGGTTCTCATAGCTACGACCTGCTTAACCATCACAACTGATTTCTACATCATTGATAGTACAAAATTTCACGCTTGTGGGCCAACAGCACATTTACGGTGTGGTGATTACGGTGCTAGATCCCACATGGCTGACTCCATGGTTCAAATCCTAGACCTGGTGGCCTGAGAAACACCCCAGGTGTGTGTGTGTGTGCGTGCGTGTGTGGGTGCGTGTGTGTGCGCGTGTGCTCCAAATCCCAAGAGGATAGTGGAGAAGTGGTTGCAGGGGTGATTTCTCATGTCCCCTTTCTCTCTGGCAAACACATTTGCCCTTTGGCAAAATAAAAACAAAAATAAAAGAAAAAAATTTTAAAAATTCACATTGACACAGAAGCTGCGAGTGCACCTGTTGTGCTTTCCCAGCACCCAGGGCTGGGATGCCAGCAGGGCAGGGACCGCTCGGCTGCAGGGAAGGCCCCATAAACTCACTCTGATTCCACCTTTCCACAAACTTTTTGAAGTCCCCTGTATGTTCAATAAAACGAAGTGATTCAAGTCTAGCTCTGGAAAATGAGTGAGGCCAGGACTTAGACCAGAGTGCTCGTACTAGGCCCATCTGAAGCCAGAGCAAAGCTACGGGGTCTGGTCTCAGTGACGGCCGAGGCTGACTGCTCACCACTGCAAAGACCGTCCAAGGCACACTTACGCCAGTTGAGATGGCGCCAGGCCTCCTGTGGGTCTTCGTCTGACCGTGAGTAGCAGGCTGGCCTTTAAATCCCCATCTCTTCATGACTCCTTGAAAACCTTTTCCGATGCTGAAAAGACAAACATTGAAAAGTACGTAACAAACTACGCCCAACTGAACATGCTCCTGACAGTACCTGCGAGTTCTAACAAAGCTTCCTATCTAAATAACTGGGAAAGCGAAGCTCAAATGCACTCTCTTTTACCCCTGTCCTGGCCCACACCCTTCATGGAATCTAATTCCATATGAAATTATTAATTCAAGATCGTGACATAAACGGCACAGGGAGCTGTATCACCATAACCCTATGAGGAGGGCACAGGAGGGACCAGCAGTTAGTGTAATGGCTATGTCGCTGGACTCCCACGTAGTTGACCACTGTTCGAGTCCTGGATTTGGTGGCTTAAACTCACACCGGGTACGTGTGCGTGCGTATCCAAGATCCCAAGAGGAAAATGGAGAAGGGATTGCGGCGTGGCCATCCCCCGTCGGGGATGATTTCTCGCTTTCTATCTCTGTCTCTCTCTGTCTTTCGGGCGAGTGCATGCGTCCTATAGCAAAAGACCTCTAAAAAAAAAAATTATGCTCTAAATGCTGAAGTTTTATTTTAGAAGAAACCAGGTGGACCTCGGTCTAAGGGCTGAATAGAAGCTAATGGAGACATAAAATCAGTGTGACAATTGCTTAATAATCCAAAACTTCATGTTTAAATGGAATCTCTTTATTTGCAAATTCTGTTAAACAGAGAAATTTTCTGGCAGGCAGGTAGAAAGCACACAGCATCGCAGCTCGAGCACTGTTCAAGTCTGTCTCTGAATGTCATGCACCACCAGCAGATGATGGAGCGCCAGTGCCGGCAGCTGCTGTGACGTGCCCAGACCCGACCGGACATCTCTCTATGTACTCTTGGGTGATTTCTCTCAGCTTTCCCCGATAATATCTCAACATATTTTTAATGCAATATTCCCTCACCCAAACGAAGGAAGGTGCTGTTAGTGCGCTGCCTGGACATTTACACAAAAGGCCACAGGAAAGGATGCTAACACCCTCCCACTCAGGCCGGCAGGTGCTGGGTCCTGCAAGGAGGGCTGCATGGCTGTGGCTGTGCTAGGAGCACCGATGTGCAAGCCAAAACTCGCAGAGGACCGGAGGAGGGACTGCAGTGGGCCGCCCACCCAGGGGTTCTGCCTTTCTCGCTCTTTCACTCTCTTGTGAATGCACAGGCCCTATAGCAAAAACTAAGAAACTCAAAATGTTTACTCTTGATCAAAGAGTTAAAATAGAAATTTAACATGTAGTAAATTAAAACACATTACTTTGTAAAGACATTAACTTTTAAAAATTTAAAAATAAAAAAGAAATAGCTAAGGAGTCATTTGATCCTATACTGTTTAGCAAGTAACCTTTAAAAGAATAAAGCAGAGAGACTGGCTGCACTAATCTCAAACATGCGTGTTTGCGGCAGCACACTCTAACACGGTAGAACGTTTACTGGTGCCTTCAGAACGTCAAACTGACTCGTTCACTTAGAAAGGGTGAGTGTGAGAGCACACGCCGACAAGAAATGTGCCAGGTAAATTACACGAGAGAATTTAGCTCATTGTAAGAATAAGTGATTACAAGATGAAAACGGTGTCCTGAAAGCACCAATTATCCGTTGGCTAATTACACGCTGTTTCCAGCCTCGCTCCGGGATGCATCACGAGGATGTGCTGTGTACAATGGGAACGTCTTCAACAAATAACCTTTAAACAGAAGGCTAGAACGCAAACGGCGTGACAAATTACGGGCTCCATGCAGAGTGGGGAGAACAGAGCACCGGCCGCCCCACGGGTGGTGCAGGTGTCGTCGCAACCGCTCCTTTCACCTGTCACTCCACTTGAGAACAAAAACAAAACAAAAGCAAATGAGCCAGTCACCTGGCACACCCAGGCACATTTCCAAGATATCCCAGGTCCCGTAGCATGGACTGCTCACGTTACTAGGAAGGACTTACACGCGTGCTCCATCTCCCGTGCCCCGTTCCACTGCAGTCTTTAGGAACTGACGGCAGAGAAGTTGAAATCAAGCCATATTCAAATCAGAATAAACACAATGTTACCAATTCTAGTGTTGGGGTCAGCAGATGGCATAGAAGTTACGTCGATGGACTCCCACATGGTGAACCAAGGTTCAAGTCCTGTACCTGGTAGCTTGAAAATCATGCCAGACTCATGTGCACACATGCCCCAGATCTTGAGAGGAGAATGGAGAAGGGAGAAGGGATTTTGGCGTGTCCATTCCCTTGGGGGTGATGTCTCTCTTTCTATCTCAGTCTCTCTACCAAGCACACATACCCTATAAAAAAAATCTCTCTTACAAAAAAACAAAAAACAAAAAAACAAAAACCAAGTGACTTAAAAAAAAAACTGACTTTAATAAGGTATTACTTGAAAATTAGAAAAACAAAAAATGTTACTTTCTTTAATTGCTAGAGAGTGTAAGTGCACCCCAGTGTGGTCACGCTGAACTCCCCCATCTCTCCATCCTGTTGGGATCTGGGGCGGGCACACGCACACGCACCCGCACCCAGGGCCAGCCTACAAAGGAAGGGCGGTCCGCCTCACCCGCAGGCCTGGCTGGGAGGCTAGGGCGACTGGCACTGGCTAAGCTCCGATGGGGAGCGGGTGAGCCGTGCTCGGCCCCAGGTTTTCCAAAGGCGCAATGAGCGTGCCTCTTCGTTTGAAAAGATGTTACAGAGAAAAGGAGTCAAGACGGGGCTGTGAGACTCTCACAGAGGACGCACTTTCCTGCTCTGCACTGCAGTCCCTATGTTTCCGGCGATCACCACGGGGGCGTCCACCCTCACTGCGTCGCGACAGGTGCGCCAGGTCCACCAAGAGACACACGCGTGCACCCTCACTGCGTCGCGACAGGTGCTCCACGTCCACCAACAGACACACGCGTGCACCCTCACTGCATCACGACAGGTGCACCACGTCCACCAACAGACACACGCGTGCACCCTCACTGCGTCGCAACAGGTGCACCAGGTCCACCAACAGACACACGCGTGCACCCTCACTGCGTCGTGACAGGTGCGCCACGTCCACCAACAGACACACACGTGCACCCTCACTGCGTCACGATAGGTGTGCCAGGTCCACCAACAGACACATGTGTGCACCCTCACTGCATCACGACAGGTGCGCCATGGCCACCAACAGACACACGCATGCACCCTCACTGCGTCGCGACAGGTGCGCCAGGTCCACCAACAGACACATGCGTGCACCCTCACTGCGTCGCGACAGGTGTGCCAGGTCCACCAACAGACACATGTGCCGACAAAGCTGTCACGCATCTCCCACCTTGGGGGGGTGAGCTGCCTTTTGTGGCATCCCTCTGGGCACACTTTGTGGGGACAACAGACTGCTCATGAGATGAGGAGAGTGCCATGAGTCCTACGACAACGTCCCCAGGTCCCATCCCCGAGACTGCCCCTGCCTGTGGCCTCTGCCCTCTGCCCTCTCTGGGAAGCACCGTGCTCCTGCTCTCGCTGCATTGCAGCTTCCTCGCCAGTCGCTCTTGGGAACTCACGCTGAGGCTAACCCCGTGACCCCCAAACCCAAACCTTTCATCAAGAGAACTTTTCATTAGGGAAGTTGAAGGCATAGTCAAGAGCAGGAACACTACAAAGACAAGGTGCTGTCCTGTCACCCGGCGTTGGCCAGCCCCAGCCTGAGACCTCCTCGCTTCACCTCCTCTCCACAGCTCCAGCGGACTGCCGTGAGCACAATCCTACACCTACTGCCAGTCTACAGTCCGACGCCCCGGGTCTTTAAAGGACACGGATTGGGGAACGAGCCATCACACCATGACCACAGCCTAAAGCATCAGCACTTCCTGGGCACCAGAATCAGCCAGCGTTCAGATGACCACATGGATGTGAGACAGGGCTCTGCCCTACTCCTCTGCCCCCCAGCTCTCAGAGGGGATGACCACACCAGCTGTAAACAGGGCTGTGCCCCCTCCCCCCCATCATCACTCTTCTCTACTCCTCTACCCCCACGCTCTCGGAGGAGATGATCACACCCGCTGTGAAACAGGGCTGTCCCATCATCACCCTTCCCTACTCCTCTGCCCTGTGCTCTCGGAGGGGATGACCACACCGACTGTGAAACAGGGTTGTCCCCCCCATCATCACCCTTCCCTACTCCTCTGCCCTGTGCTCTCGGAGGGGATGACCACACCCGCTGTAAACAGGGCTGTCCCCCCTCCCCCCCATCACCCTTCCCCACTCCTCTGCCCACACTCTCCTGCTGTCGGAGGGGATAACCACACCTACTGTTTCCCTGCCCCGTCATCACCCTTCCCTACTCCTCTACCCCGCCCCCCACGCTCTGAGGGGCCCGACAGGAGGAGAGGTGGGAAGGAGGGATGGCAGTGGCTGTTCCCCATCATTCTCACCCTCCCTTTCCTCCCTATAGTAAAATAAAGATTCCTCTGGGGTGCAAACAATTGAAGGTAAAAAGTGAAACATTTTGAAGTACTCAATATATCCATTTTAACGGTTAAAGTATGATTAGTACAACATGAGAAAATTACAAAAGTAAGAGATTAATTGGAGATGATTCTAACAGGAGATAATGAAGCCAACTACTACACAAACCAATTTCGGTTCCATGCTAACTAAAATGTGAGTGATAAATAGGCCCACGTTTACTGGCAATGTTATCTGAAATGGAATTAATTAAACTTGCTTGCTTCAAAACAGATGTTGATATGCTTTTACTTGGCCAGACTTGAGGAAAAGAGCTCCTCTGAACTGTATGTTGAGAAAAGGAAAAGGGAGAAACAGCGGCTTAACTGAGAGCCCTGGGCTACCTCCACATCCAGGGGTTGGTTTGTTGGCCGGGTGGGTGGTTGGGTGGTTGGGTGGTTTTGCTACAGGGTGCATGCACTCCCCAGACAGAGAGTGGGAGGTTACCCCTCAAGGCGGATGGCCATGCCACAATCCCTTCTCCTCCACTCTCCTCTCAGGATTTGCACATGTACGTGCACACGCCAGTTTAAGTTCCAAGCCACTGGGTTCGGGACTTGAGCAGGGGTCAGCCATGGGAATCCAGTGCCTTAACCACTATGCCACCCTCTAGTCCTGCTTTTAAAGTAGTTTTAAAAGCAAACCCTCTTAACTGTTGGTGGGAAGGTCAACTATAAAGCCATCCCTGTGGAGAACATATGGAACAACACTTGCACATCCGTGTTCTCACTCCTGGAAAAACACCCGCTCACGCATGTTTACTGCAGCACTGTTCACAATTGCCAGGACATGGAATCAACTAAAATGTCCATGAGCACAAGAGTGGATTGAGAAGATGTGGCACACGTACTCTACAGACCACTATGCAGCCATAAAAACAGCGAGACCCTGACATTTGATGCACAGTAGATGAATACGGAGAGTTCATGCTAGGTGGAGCAAGCCAGACTACGAGAGATAGGCACTGCAGGTCCCCACTGAACACACACTGAACGTCCACGCTCTGCAGACACTGGGAGACTGGGAGGTGTGAGAGCAGGAAGGGCAACTGCAGGTGACAGAGAAGTACAGAAGGGGGGGTGGTAAGAGGGCAACTGCAGGTGACAGAGATATACAGAAGGGGCAGGTGGTAAGAGGGCAACTGCAGGTGACAGAGATGTACAGAAGGGGGGGGCGTAAGAGGGCAACTGCAGGTGACAGAGATATACAGAAGGGGGGGGCGGAAGAAGGGCAACTGCAGGTGACAGAGAAGTACAGAAGGTGACAGAGAAGTACAGAAGGGGGGGTGGTAAGAGGGCAACTGCAGGTGACAGAGATATACAGAAGGGGCAGGTGGTAAGAGGGCAACTGCAGGTGACAGAGAAGTACAGAAGGGGCAGGTAGTAAGCAGTGGGAAGAAGGGGATCAGGGAAAAAACAAACATTTAATGGACACAAACGTGAGAAGTTATCTGTTGATAACGTACATGGCACACTGCATCATAACGTCATTTACTTAAGTAATATGAACTGTATTCTGGCTGGGAAAAACCATTTCGTACACTGTAAGATGTTCAGTAATTGAATGTAAAGTAAAAAAAAATTAAAAATCAACTGTTAAAAAAAAAAAAAAAGCGTGTCCTTGGGTCAGCAGCATTGACATCACCTGGGAACGTGATAAAAATGCAAATTCCAGGCACTGTCCCAGGACAGAATCCAAAGCTCCGTGGGCGGAGCTGTGGATCTGTGACAAGCCGTCCAGGAGGCCCTATCTCCCACGCGAGGGCCAGAGCCACTGCCCCGCCTGTAAGCCCGCTCCCGCTGCAGTCCTCTGGGGAGGACGCTGCACAGTCTCCCTAGTGCCCGTACTAGAAGCTTCAAACTTTGAAAACGGGCTGGAAATGGAAGACAGGGTAGCAAATCTCTGGCTATAAATGAACCACAGAGTTAAGGGACCGAGAAGACTCAAGAGTCTCTACATAAGACATGATGCTCCACTTAACCACTGCACCGCCTGTGGGCCCCATTTCGCACCTTTTAAAACAGTTCAACAAAAGGGAGGGACTGAAGTTTTGCAGTGGTCTAGCTGTGAAACCAGAGGACAGCTGTGGAAATGTGGAACGGACCTGACTGTGTCAGGGAAACGGCTGATGGCAGCCTCAGTTTCTCAGGGCAAACGCGCTCAGCCCTGTGAGCACAAACCCATCCCTGAGCACCCACGGACAACTGTGTACTTTCGAAGGACCCTAGAGAGAACGCCCTTGCAGACACGGTGTGTGACAGAGGGGAACTGAGGCACAAAGAGCAATGAGGAATAACCAGAGCAGACCAGAGCTGTACATGGAGCTCTGCTGATCCTAGGTCAGGGACATTCCAATGATCCAACGGAAGTTCCCACATGAGCGTGGGAAAACGAGTGTCACGAGAAAACCACGCGTGGATCTCAGCTTCCTCTCACACCACAATGAACTCGCTCTACTCCGTTCCTCCGTACACTTCGTGGAGTTCCAGCGATAATGGCTGAGGTGTCCCAGCAGTTTTGGAAAAGCCACTCCTCTATGACCCAGATGCTTCCAGGAGATCATCTAGCCAGCTCTGAACTGCCCACCCGAGCCAGCTGACGCAGACTGAGGTGGGAAGGCTGCAGCACTGAAACTCCAGGCCAGCTGATACAGAGGCGGGAAGGCCACAGCACTGAAAACTCCATGGCCGAACCTGCACGACTCAGTCAGCATTTCAGCAAGACATAGGCAAATGTTGATTTCTACTGAGTCAAACACTTACTTAAATATTAAAAGCTGTTTCCTTTTTTTTTTGAGAGAGAGATTTTTGCTACAGGGCACATGTGCTCACTGGAGAGACAGAAAATGAGAAATCACCCCCAAGGAGATGACCAAACTGCAATCTCTTCTCTTCCACTCTCCTCTTGGGATCGTGGGCACGCACACGCCTGCCCCTGGCCTGAGTTTCAAGTCCCTGGGTCCTGGCCTCCAATCACAATCATCCACATGGGAGTCCAGCGCCTTAACCACTATGCCACCCGCTGGCCCCAAAAGATGACTACTTTCACAGAAGAAATCTCATTTATGTAGTACTGACAAGTAACGTTATGCTAATGAAGAAACCTAAGGTGTAGTAGTATTTCTTCCAGTTTTTGATAGGCTTTTAACAGTTGTACAATGTATTATAGTTACTTTGCAGGAATCTTAGATAAAACAACCCATCACAAACAGTACTAAGTGCTTCTCATTTGACTGTTAGGTAAGATTAGGAAGAGGAGCCAGTAGCCGGGCTGCACAATAATCTCGGAACGCCATTCGCACTACTCACGGGATTCCACCACCGAGTGGAAGTTGGTCTCCAACAGAAGCAGGCCCACCCTCAGAGAGCCTATGCAGGAAGGCCTCTCTGAGTCCCTTACAAGGAGCACACCTCTCAGCTCTAGAGCTGCAGCCTGCGGGGCACTTTCACAACTCAGTGCTCTTTAAAAGCCGGAATGGGGTCAGCTCTGTGGGGCAGTGGCAGGGTGCTGCTGAGGGGCCGGGGCCCACGTGGGCCTGACCTGGAGGCCCTGGCCAGGTCAGCCTGACAACACATAGGTCCCAAGATCTGAGGGGCTGAGGGCTGCAGGAGCAGGGGTGACGGCACCACAGATCCGCAGAGGGCACTTGTCCCCGACTCACATGGGTGCCCGTGTGTGCTCTATTGTGAAGGGAAAGGAGGAGGAGTGTAGTCATAACATTGCAATCGGACCACAGGCCAGCAGGGGCATGGAGGTGAAGCTGCTGGACCCCACAGAGCCGGCTGCGTGGTTCAGTCCTGGGCACAGCGGCTTGAAATCATGCTGAGCGCGGGTGCACAGAGCATGCCCCGAATCCCAAGAATACAATCAAGGAGAAGAGATTGTGGCATGGCCACCCCCACCCGGTCTCTCTCTGGTGAGTGCATGTGCCCTATAGCAAAAACATACAAAAATTACATTTTCAGTGAGAATGACATTGATCCTTTATTCACTGATTTGGAAGACTGAACTTCCTTCACTCACTGTCCTTTTCTGATATTGAAGAAAACAGAAGGACGAGGGCCCTCGGAAATACCTACGTTTTGGCTGTGACATCCACGTACTGTCCTGGGCGGAAGTGAGCGGCAAAAAGGGGCGTCCCTTCATGAAAAGAAGAAGAGAGGGTGGTCAATCTCCGCACACACAACTTCATGAAACAAGAGTTACACCCAAGAAGCCTGCTATCAGACTTCAGAAACGGAGGAGGCGGTCCTGTGCAGTTACGCACACGCGAACCTGAAAAACAGTCTCTCTCCACTGATGAGGGGTGGGCTGAAGCCCCGTGTGGGCCAGCGAGGCCCGGGGCGAACCACTATTCCAAACCAGGCCTGACTGACAGGCTGTACCTTCCGGGAGGCTGATGTGGCGCCAGTCACAACCCACAGTTTCTGTGACAATACAGGCTCTTCCCGGCAAATGCTACGTTTGATGATCCTCGGCTGTCCTGGAGAATAACAGTATACTGAACTAAGATGTATCTTCTATCTCACATAAGGAAAACAAAATAGGAGAATCGCTTAAAAAATACTGAGGCTAGGTCAAGTATTTTTTCACCCATTAAAAAAGACCAGGAAACTTGATTACTCGAACCCAGGTAACTCACCTGTGGGGTTAGGGTACAGTCTTTATGATATTCATGTAAAACCCACACGTACCAGACGCCGTGGGCGCTGGAGGTCATTGTATCAGTACAGTTCTTCTGGGATGTGCCTGGTATTTGGCATAGTAAAACTCTGCCAGTGTAGATACCTCTTAATTTTATATGGAACATTTACAAAACTAGTTGTAAATAAATAAAACTGTACTTTAAATGTACTTGGGAAACATGTTATTTAAAAGAAGCTAAGATTTTGTGACAAATCAAAAAAAGCCCTTAAAAATACTTTGTTTATATAAGTTTGGAATTAATGTTTATAAGAAATATTAAATTTAGCAATTAATAAACACCAATAGGGCATGTACAAATACGTACAGCTAGGTATGTAAAAGCCTAAGACATGCCCTGACATGAAATTTACTATGTTAAAGAAGTGGCATTAACATAATCACATAATTTTTCTTAAAGTAGAAATCAGCAGAGTAGAGAATGTAATTAAAATTGATTTTAGTTTGTTCATATAGGCAGTGAGGTATGGTGATATTTCAGAGGACAATCTCCTTTAATACAGGACTCCACTAAGAGCTACACTGGGACAGGAAGATCTCTGAATTAACAACGGGGACTTGAGGCCAGCAGGTGGCGCGCTGGAAGGCGCTGGACTTCCCATGGCCGACCGAAATTCGAGTCCCGGACCCGGCAGCTTACTTTCTCACTTTCCCTCTCTCTTCTCTCTCACTTTTGCTCTGTCCCTTTCTAGTCAAAATAGAATAAATAAAGTTAAACAAAAATAATTCTTAAAAAAAAAAAAAAGAGGAATTTAATCATTCTATCTTGCCCACATTTATCAAAACATCACACTGTACCCCAGAGACATACACTGATGATGTCAGAAATAATACTCATTTTAACAAAGGGGTAAAGTAGGGAGACTAAGTGCTCTTACTGCCGATGAGGCTAAATGACTTCAACTGCCTATATGTCACCATTCTTGATTCACGAAAACAACTTCGTATGGTTTGAGCTATAGCCAGAGTTAAAGCAGATTCAATTTTTACTTCTAACCCAAACCAAACATGAACACAGTATTTAGAGAAAGCGAGATGTGCCGATGCCGCAGAGGACACTTAGACCCCTTCAGAATACGCTGCTTACACAGCCACGTGTTCCCGATCTACCCTTCATACTGAGAGTGGAGCGTGCCAGTTACCGGTCGTTGGGAAAGCCACGGTACATTTTTGCACAGAAAAATATGTCATGACCTTCCCGACCCGACACAAGCCATTCTAATACACGATGACCGAATATCTCTACTGATTTTTATATCTGTTAGTCCAATTCCACTTACTTTGCCTTTAAGTTGCAAAACTTGAATTTCGAATTTACTTGAAATTCTACCTTATACCAAGGCTGACCTGTGGTCGCCCCAATTAGTAAGGCCTGTTGCAAGTATGTTTTACTTCAAGAAATTTAGTTCAGATATCAAAATACCAACTCTTAAAACATTCTTCTACTGTCTTGTCAGAACTCAAATTCCAGAGACCAGGAAGCTTTTCTAAAGTTCAAAGACGTCGAAATGTTGTATTTCATTAACTGTATGAACCAGCTGAGGTGTGTGCCAAAGGTAACTTTGTGACACCCCATGGACGTAGTAAAATACTGTGGAATTATGAGGGAAAATCTCGACACCGAGGTGCTATGGCTGGCCCTGTCCCAATTCAGGCTCTTTTCTCAAGGTCTTCTAAGTGAGACTCCAGCAATTCTTCACTTAGAATGTCAGCCAACAGTGAACCCTGAATTTTAAAAGTTAGTCTATCTGTTTGGAGTGGTTTTTTTGCAAATGTGGAATTCTCTCTACACTAAAAACAAAAGTGTTCCTCCCTCTTCGGTGGAAAACAAAGAGATATCTACAGCTTTTTCCACTTAAAAAGACAAAGCTTTGCTTGTTCCTAGTGATTAAGTCAGATACAGTTTTATATTTAAAGTGTTTGGGACTCTGCATTTTGAACCCAGCTCTATCAAAAGGGCTGCCGTTAAGCAAATCACGTATTTGGGTATCTTTGCCTCCCTCCTCTTCCCCACCTCAAATTACCTGGTTTGATGATAGCGTTGTCGGTTACATGGAAGATCTTAACTTTCTGTTTTGGAGGTAGTCCAAGTTCCTGGTAAAATTCCAGCACAGATGCAGGTTTCTAGGAGAGAAGGACGTGAGGAGCATGAATGCAAGGCCAGATGGATGCAGAGCTCCAAGCCAGGTCGGCCGTGCAGAGGGCAGCCCCAGATGGGCCGTGTCCCCAGCCGGACGAGCGTCCACTCCTCCGCGTGAGAGCGGGTGAGCTCCTACAGTCTGGCACATCTCTAGAATGAAGAACCTCGAGGCTTGGAGTCCGACCCCGGCAGAGCCTCAAATTCAGTGTGCTGGGAAGAGGCAGCCAGGGGCCAGGTCTGATTTCTGACTGAGACGACATGGAGACTTCAACCCCAAGGACCAGCTCCCCGTCTAACCTGCACCTGTCTGAAGCAACTGAAGAAAGCACAGGGGTCACATTTCAATGCTGTAAGCACAAACTTTAAAGTGAGTCCCAAATGTGCATTTCCCTGGCTGAACCCTTCTCAAACTGTCCAAGGTAGCTACGGCACATCTCCCTCTCAAACCCCGGCACTGTGCTCTCTCCCTCCACCCTAGGAGCTGATCGGACAGAAGAATCAAGACTTCTCTACGCGTTTACCACCAAACCAAGCACCCGGCACCAGCATGTAATACACTGCCCTCCTCCCACCATTCCCGGTACACGTGAGACGCACATGGGGAGCATGGAGGGGATGCCAGTGCCAAGGGCCTGGGCTTGGAGGGCCGAACTCCACTGGTCTACAGTGCGACCCAGGCACCGGCGTTAGGCCTGCCATGTGATTCCATCAAGCTAGCGCTGAAACCATCTTGCTATGTGACAGGACTGCCCATGTTCTTACAGAGACGGGTTCTCGCCTCCCCTCACCTTGTCAGCGGCTGTCCCCTGAAACTGTCCTACCGCCTCCTCAATGATCCATTCTCCCCTTCCTACCGCCTCCTCAATGATCCATTCTCCCCTTCCTACCGCCTCCTCAATGGTCCATTCTCCCCTTCCTACCGCCTCCTCAATGGCAGGATGTCACAGAGACTCAAATACGAAAACTTCCCCTTGGCCGCATATTCTTTGGTTAATTTTTCTGTTCCCCTTGCAGCAAAGCTCCTGGAAGGACCCACCATGTTTACCTTCCCTCGCCTTCTCTGACCCACTTTTAACCGGGTGCCCTGGCTCCTAGCACTCAATGCAGAGTGCTTGTCAAGGCTACGGAGGACCCTTCGTCGGAGACGCAGTCGGTGCACTGTGGCCAGCAGCAGTGCCGACACAGGGGCCGCCCCACCTGGAGTCCTGCACCGGCCTCACGGTCACGGCTCACGTGAGTCCTCCTTTTCTTCTCACATGACTTCTCACTTCTTTTGCTTTTTTAAAAGAATTGTTTAACCGCCTCCTCAATGATCCATTCTCCCCTTCCTACCGCCTCCTCAATGATCCATTCTCCCCTTCCTACCGCCTCCTCAATGGTCCATTCTCCCCTCTCTACTGCCATGCTCCTCTCAGGATGTCACAGAGACTCAAATACGAAAACTTCCCCTTGGCCGCATATTCTTTGGTTAATTTTTCTGTTCCCCTTGCAGCAAAGCTCCTGGAAGGACCCACCATGTTTACCTTCCCTCGCCTTCTCTGACCCACTTTTAACCGGGTGCCCTGGCTCCTAGCACTCAATGCAGAGTGCTTGTCAAGGCTACGGAGGACCCTTCGTCGGAGACGCAGTCGGTGCACTGTGGCCAGCAGCAGTGCCGACACAGGGGCCGCCCCACCTGGAGTCCTGCACCGGCCTCACGGTCACGGCTCACGTGAGTCCTCCTTTTCTTCTCACATGACTTCTCACTTCTTTTGCTTTTTTAAAAGAATTGTTTAACTTAACTTTATTTTTTGTTTTAATGTGACAGAGAGGGACAGAGTGTGTGTGTGTGGGGAGAGTGAGAAAGCAAGCCACTGGGTCCGGGACTCGAACTGGGGTCGGCCACGTGGGAGTCGGCACTCTTAACTGCCATGCCACCTGCTGGCCGCTATGACTTCTCCTTCTGATTTCGACTCTGAGCCCTATTCTCAGGGAGTATAAATCCACGTCGGCCTGCCAGCTCCCTCCCTTCACTGCACGTCCGCATACAACAACTGGAGTCTCACTCTCCACGGGCCAACTCGGCCGCCCTCACTCCAGCTCTGCCTCCCTGGGCCGCCCAAATCTCAATGAAAGGGAACGCCACCCCTCTCGTTCTGGACCCTTGCCTCTTCCTCACACCCCACACCTTCCACCACCAAGCCCTGGACTATTTAAAAAGATAGCCCCACCGGCCACTTCCAACCACCCCACCTCCTACCTTTTGCCTGGATTATTTCAAGAGGCCCCCAGCTGGTTCCCACACTCCTACACCCCTGTCTATCTGAAATCCACAGGCTGGCAGGACCACTTTAAAGGCCACAGCCATCCCATGTCTCTGCGACCTCCCACCGCAGGCAGCACCAAGGTCTCAGCTCCAACGTCTGTGTGTGCTCAGACCCCTCCCCGGCCCCCCCACTCATCAGGGTCTCAGCTCCGTCTGCCTGTGCTCAGACCCCTCCCCGGTCCCCACACTCATCAGGGTTTCATCTCTGTCTGTCTGTGCTCAGACCCCTCCCCGGTCCCCACACTCATCAGGGTTTCATCTCCGTCTGTCTGTGCTCAGACCCCTCCCTGGTCCCCACACTCATCAGGGTTTCATCTCCGTCTGTCTGTGCTCAGACCCCTCCCTGGTCCCCACACTCATCAGGGTTTCATCTCCGTCTGTCTGTACTCAGACCCCTCGCCAGTCTGTGTGTGTGTGTGCTCAGACCCCTCCCCAGTCCCCCCCACTCATCACAAGTCTGTTAAACCCATGTCTCTAGTCCCACTCCAGTTGTTTCCTGCCCAGACTTCTCGGCAGCCTTGCCAGAGGACACTGCTCCTGATCAACACCAAGTCTAGAAACAGTCACTGTCCATGCCCCTCCACGTCTGCTCACTGCTGGCCTGTGAGCACGTAGAGGAAGGTTACCCATGAGGAAGTGGGTGACGTAAGATGGAAAGCAGGAGAAGACGGGGGCAGACACCCTGCAGGGTGCGTGTAAAGGTCCGTCCCCTAAGCCGCGCCACCTTCCCACTCTTCGGCTGCAACGGTTCCTGGAATGCAAAATCACTATGTTCGTGGGATCCATCTTCAAGTAGAGTTACTGTAAAATACAGGCTTAAAGTATACACTATGACCGAGGATGAATAAATCCTAGAAGCTAACCAATTATAAAGTCAAACCAGTAGTAATTTGTAATAAAATGGCAAGAAGAGCAGCAGCTGGAAAGCCCTAACTCAAGGTGACAGTGGGGAAAGTGAGTCCTGAGTCCCGGCACATCTGCACGCCCAGACCTCCCCTGTAGCACGCACTATGCGGACGCAGTGCCCTCCAGCTACCGGCCCACTGCAATTTAAGATGCACACTCCCAGCCCCCGTGCAGCTCACTGAGCCAGCTGCTTCAGTCCTCCTGGAGTTGGGCCATCAGCCTGCATGCACAGAACTCTAAATGCTGGGTTAGGAGACAACCGGAAGGGCTCTCCCTGGCCCTCCCGGGGGCTGCAGACACGCCAAGAGCCCTGCTTCCCGTCCACTGAAGAGGCTTTGCACCTCTCAGAGCTCATGCAGGAGTCTCTCCTGGGAGCCAGTCAGGGCACAGCACGGCAGCTGGTCTACACGGGGAGGTCCAGACCCCGTACTCCCCGAGTGCGCTGCAGGTGCATGGACACACATGGCGTCACTGAGGCTGGTTGGGCCCAGATGCAGTGTGAGGACCCTGTCGGGCTGCCTGGCTGTCTCTCTCATGGAAGAAATAATATTAAAAAAAAAAAAAAGAAAAGAAAAGAAAGGAAAAAAAGGAGCGAGAGCAGCTGTCGCTTCCCCAGCAGCTGCGACGACACAGAGCCACTGCGGTCACTGTGTCCCACCGCCCGCGAGCTGGCACCTGACCTGGGACTCAGCACCACTTCTACCGATGACCTTGTCTCCACCATAACCTCTTCCACAATCTGAGCACACACACCCTCGGTCGGCCTGGGCCACAGCAGCACGGCGCTCTGCAGTGCTGACAGCCCTCGGGGAGGCTGGGCGCGGGCCCCGGGCTGCCCTGAACACCCGGGCGTGTGCGTGTGCGCCATGACGGTGGCTGAGGGAGGTCGGGGAGGGCTGCATGATGACGCCCCTTGAGAGCGCTCATCTCTGTCTGTTGTTCTCATAAAACGTGGCTCCGTGAAATCATTCTCTTGGTGTGTCAAATTCAATTTAGTAATTCTAGAACATGCTTCGAATTTACTTTTGATATATACATATTCTACTGTGTAGTTTTTTTAACTTAAAAAGTGATTTATTTAGTGGGGACCCCGTCGGGGTGCCCTGGTGTCTCTCTCAAGGGAAAAAAAAAAATTAAAAAAAAAAAAAAGAAAAGAAAAGAAAGGAAAAAAAGGAGCGAGAGCAGCTGTCGCTTCCCCAGCAGCTGCGACGACACAGAGCCACTGCGGTCACTGTGTCCCACCGCCCGCGAGCTGGCACCTGACCTGGGACTCAGCACCACTTCTACCGATGACCTTGTCTCCACCATAACCTCTTCCACAATCTGAGCACACACACCCTCGGTCGGCCTGGGCCACAGCAGCACGGCGCTCTGCAGTGCTGACAGCCCTCGGGGAGGCTGGGCGCGGGCCCCGGGCTGCCCTGAACACCCGGGCGTGTGCGTGTGCGCCATGACGGTGGCTGAGGGAGGTCGGGGAGGGCTGCATGATGACGCCCCTTGAGAGCGCTCATCTCTGTCTGTTGTTCTCATAAAACGTGGCTCCGTGAAATCATTCTCTTGGTGTGTCAAATTCAATTTAGTAATTCTAGAACATGCTTCGAATTTACTTTTGATATATACATATTCTACTGTGTAGTTTTTTTAACTTAAAAAGTGATTTATTTATTTATTGATTGATTTAGAGATTACTGCCTTTGGGGGCATATGCTCACTCTGGGGGACGGGGGACAGAGTGACGGGAAGTGAGAGATCACCCCCCCAGAGGGGATGGCC